TTGTCTGTCAGTTTGTCATCCTGTGGTGGCTTATGTGTTGCTGTGAGGCTGGAGGCTATGCCACTCATGTTGCAAAATGCCAGGAGGGTTACCCACGGTGGACAGGTTTCAGCGGAGCTTCCGGGCTTAGACAGACTTGGAAGAAGGAAGAGGCCATCCACTTCTCAAACAACTGGCTAGTGAAAACCTTATGAATAGCGGTGAAACGCTGTCTGATATATTACTGGAAAACTTTATGAATAGCCCTGAAACATTGTCTGACATAGTGTCAGAAGCTGAGCCCATCCCGCCAGAAGGCACTCAAAATTTGACTGGGGAAGAGCTGACTTCTCAGAGTAGAGCTGACCTTAACGATATGGATAGAGTAAAGCTTTCAGGACTTTCATTGGCTAATGCGGTACAATTCAAAATGAGAAGAAACAGCTGCAAACACCCATTAATAATTGGGACATGGAATGTATGAAGTATGAATCTAGGGAAATTGGAAGTTGTTAAAACTGAAATGGAATATACAAAGATTGATATCCTAGGCATTAGTGAGCTGAAATGGACTGTTTTGGGCCATGTTGAATAAGACAACCATATGGTCTACTATGCCGGGAATGACAAATTGAAGAGGAATGAAGTGGCAATCATTGTCACAAAGACTATTTCAAGATCTGTCTTGAAGTACAGTGCTGTCAGTGATAGGATAATATCCATATGCCTACAATGAAGACCAATTAATGCTACTATTATTTAAATCTATGCAGCAATCACCAAAGCCAAAGATGAGGAAATTGAAGATTTCTACCAACTTCTGCAGTCTGAAATTGACTGAACATGCAATCAAGATGTGTTGATTATCATTGGTGACTGGAATACAAAAGTTGGAAACAAAGAAGAATCACCAGTAGTTGGAAAATTTGGCCTTGATGACAGAAATAATGCTGGAACTCACATGATAGACTTTTGTATGACCAATGACTTATTCACTGCAGATACAGTCTTACCCAGTGTTGTTAATTCTACTGGGGGAATATAAAACATCTAAAAATATGTTGCGGTTACTATGGAAAAAAAAATCATTATTAGTATATATTTTATTATGCATTTATCTAGCCATTACTTTGTCATGCATTTTATTATTCTTATTTGTTTAATAATTTTATATTACAGAAACAGCTCATTCTTGTTGTATACAATTTATAAGACACAAAAACCATAAACATTCATATTTTACATAATTAGTAATATTATCAGTATAGGTTTATATATACATTAAACATTGTAACATGAATATTTTCCCATACAAAATAATCTACTAAAATATCTTCTTAATGGATATTATTACATCATGTGATAGTTTGACAATTTATGAATCTCTCCTCTGGCCAGGCACTAGAGTGGGATTTTTGCTATAATAATAAATTATTTTATGCAAATTTCAGATAATGTCTTTTGAGATAAATTCTAGGAGCTGCCTATTATTCATGGGTGGATGTATATGCAATTTCATAAGACTTTGATACAATGTGTCAAATTATACTTCAAAAATTAGTACCAGAAGATGGGTTAGCAGTCAAATACCTTAGACGCTACGTCACCAGAGCTTCCAACGCCTAGTAAGATAAAATAAATACAGACAACCAAGAGAAGAGAATAAAAATCATCTCTGGTGGTGTAGTGCCTAAGTCATGCAACTGCTGACCAGAAGGATGGCAGTTCAAACCCACCAACCCCTCCTTGGAAGGAAGGTTTAGCAATGTACTTCCATAGTGATACTGCCTTGGAAACCCAAGGAGAGGTTGTTGTGAGTCGGATCCAACTCAAGGGCAGTGAGTTTGGTTTTGTTTTCTATCTTTTGCATTTCTAGGTCTTTGCCTTTTGGTTGTACAATTCTTGCCATTACGGGCTTATCTTGCTTCACTGCACTTTGCAGATGTTGCATTTGTCACTAATTGAAGGCTTGTGGCAAACCTCTGTTGAGTGAGTCTATTGGAGCCATTTTTCCAACAGCCTGTGCTTACTCCATGTCTCTGTGTCACATTTTGGTAATTCTCACAATATTTCAAACTTTTCATAATTCTATTGCACACTTAATAGACTACAGTATAGTATAAACATAACTTATATGCACTGGGAAACTTAAAAATTTGTGTGTCGTGCTTTATGTGATTTTAGCTTTGTTGCAGTGGTCTGGAATCGAACCCGCAAAGTAGGTCTATCTACTGTTCATCCTCTGCTCCTGAGATTGGGTGACTCCCTCTTTCAGACAATATCAGTACATCTTTTGGGGATGAGGAAATTGGCTGCTCTCTGGAGCTATCAGGAGACTCCGAGGCCTTGCATCAAGCCATCTTTTCCTGAACACCTCAGGGGTCTTCTCCACTATCCTATTATTCTTTCCCCTCAGTGGACTTCAAGGAACTCTAGTGGCATAGTGGTTAAAGCATTCAGTTGCTAACCAAAATGTTGGCAGTTTGACCCACCAGCTGCACTGTGGGAGAAAGATGAAGCAGTCAGCCTCCATAAAGATTTACAGCCTTGGAAACCCTGTGGCACAATTCTACTCTGTCTTAAAAAGGTCACTATGTGTCAGAATTGACTCGATGGCCGTGGATTTGTTTTTCTGGTTTTCAGTGGACTTCACTGGATCCCATAGGAGGTAATGTGCAGGACCACTTCTCAAAACCAACACTTATCACACTTTATTGCTCGTATTGACGACCCCAATCTCCCAGCCCAGAGAGTTTTCATGTAGTCTGGAGTGGGAAAAGTTGGCTCACCTAGACTTCCAAAGTTTTTAGTCTTATACCTGGGAACTTGGCTTTTGACATTCAAAGGTAATAAGTTAATATTTTTGTTTTCTGGTTCTGCAACAACATCTCTTCTCTCAAGTAATGATGCTTCACACCTAACTACTGGCCTTGTTGAGTGTGGGGAGTTACAGGATAAAAGAAAGTGGAAGAGGAAAGATATATGGGTTAGTAGTTCACTGTGTTATCCTACCACACTAATACTGAAACATCCCTGCACGTTTCCAGGGTAAATACTTTCTGGATATCTTTGACTTATTGAGCATGGCTTCTGCTTCAGGACTGTTGCTATCTTATTTAGCATAATGGGGACTCCCTCTCCAGAGAGAATGAGGTTGAGGCAGTTCTTTTAGAATCTTAAACATGTATTTTTCAGGGTGAAGCCAGCTCGACTCATCCTGCAGGATGTGATTAAGGAGGGCTGAATCAGTGGCTACCATCATTGAAAACTCTATGCAGCACAGTTCTACTCTGACACACATGGGCTGTCATGAGTCAGAATTGACTCAATGACAACTGTTTTTTTGGTTTATTGTTGCCTTAATGAAATTAGAGAACAAGTAAGTGGTAGGACTAGCACACGAACCCAGTTCTTTGTGATTCCTTAAGCTCATGCTCTTTTGACTATACCATTCTACCTCCCCCTGTAATGAACTAAATGATAGAAATTACATCTTTCCACACAGCTTTACTTTTTTAAAAAATCAAGCCTACTCAAAGAAGCTCTAATTATATGTTATTCTCTCTGCTAGTCTCTACACTACACAAATACAGCCAGTTATATTAACTAAGTTAAGCCTGATTTTCACAGTTTATATTGATTTTCTGGGTGGTAATAACCATGAACAAGAGTCTGTGGTTGAGGTAACTGTGCAGGACTTACTGCTTAAGCCATCTCCTACTGTTTATAAACACTAGCTTTGCCCAGTTCTTAGACTGAAGTTCAGGTCGTGCACTGTCATCTATTCATCATGATGGCATTTAAAGCCCACACATTTAAAATGGCAACAACTCACACACACATGCACACACACACACATTCATAAATATATACACATTCAGACTATACACATTGACTCAATGGCAGTGAGTTTGTTTTTTTTGGTTATCATACCCATTTCCTGCAATGCACTTATTACCCTCCATAGCACTCTGACATACCATATATTTACTTATTTGTTTACTGTCTATTTCCTTCCTACCATTGAAATGTAAGATTCCCAAGGACAGAGATTCTCATCTGTTTTGCTCATTCTATCCCGAGGTTACAATAGAGTCTGGCACACAGTAGTCTGGTTGTTGACAAATAGTTGCTTAGGTAGCTGAAGGCAGATAAAGAAGGGTTAACTCCTAAGGTTGTTTAGAAGATCAAATGAGTTGATGTAAGTAAAACTCTATAGCTAGGCTGGGCAGCCAACAAGGGCTTGACCAACACTGACTCTTACTATTTATCACTGAAGGCTATGGGAAGGTGCACTCAGAAAAGGGGAGGCTCTGAGAGAGAGATAAATAAGACAATTTTGAGGAAAATGGAAGCATTAAAAATAAGAAGGGAGAGGAACAAATGTATGTGTTTATCACATTGGAAATATGTGACATCTCTGTGTGCTTGACTTTCTGTTAATTTCAACCTTTTCTAAAATCATTAATCTATTCTTACATAGCACTTCACCTCAGGTAGAGCCTGAGGTATTGACTGTTCAGGCCAGAGTGCAAGGGTCGTCTGTGCACTCAAAGTTTTGAGCAAAAGGTTGCTTCAGGTGTTCTTTTAGGTTATCTGTCTTCATGAAACTCTGGACTGGGCCAGAAATGTCAGGTGCCTGCGATCCAAAGACTTTTTGAGGGTAATTTTTTAAAGCATGGGGAAAACTTAAGGCATTTTCTTTCTCTGTTATGTTTTATGTAACTTCTCAAAAGAGGGTCTGGTAGAGAGCAGGTCTCAGCATAGCTAAAATGACAGTGCTTTTGCTGGGCCACCTCTGCTCTAGTCTCCCCCTCCTTCCAAGGCGAATCAGCACTTTCCAAAGTGTGTTGACCCTCCGAGGGTTTCCCAAGTACTACGTGTTTGGGGTTATTGCTTTGGGCATGTTCAACTTTTCCTCAGATGTCACTGAACTGTGCTTGGGCTGGCCTTCCGGGCATTGACCCTTAAACAAATAGATAATGTTCTTGAAAAAGCTTAAATTCTGTTCAAAGTTTTATAATGATGAAAACTGATCTTAGAAAAGGTTGTAAAACCCTCTGACTCTCCACTGTGGAGTCTATTGTTTCTTCTGGCTTCCTCAAGTTCTTCTTCACAGGTAGGTGACTTATGCTTGCCTACAGCATTTGAGGACTGTGTTCTGTAAGGCCATTCCCTTTAAGTCTCACTTTGTGGGGTGCTGTGTTTCTGATTTATTAAAGGCTGCTGGCTTGTCATATGATAAACAATACTATAGTTCTTGTATATAAACTTTCAGAATGAATAATTTCATAATATTGTATACAATATGGATGATTCTTGGCTACTGTCTCATTTATGGTCATGCTGATTTATTCATGAATTCTCTTGAGAATGAGCATGTATGTTGTATATAAATGTGGTGCAAATAGGTGAATGGATTGAATCATCTATCTGAAATAAAAAGACTCATTAACTTCTATTTTAATGATCCCATGAAAGCACAATTCTATTTGCACTTATAATCATGAATTCTACCCCAGAAGGCTAGTGTTGGTTTAATACAGAACTATGTTGACTTTTTTTTTTTTTTTTTGGTTTATGTTGACCTCATCTTTTCTTCAACATCATACTTCTTATTTCCTCATTCTGTCAGTTTTCAACAATATAGATGCTAAACAGTATGAGCTCTGGATGCAAGGTTAGGGGGAACAAGTTGCTTCTAGAATTTAATTTCAGTGTTTAGGTTTTCCTGGCCAGTAGAATTCACTTTACTAAGGACTTGAGCTCTGGTAGCATAGTGGCTAAGGCACTTGACTGCTAACCAGAAGGCTGGCGGTTCAAACCCACCAGCCACTCCTCGGAAGGAAGATGTGGCAATCTACTTCCGTAGTGATACTGCCTCAGAAACCCAAGGAGGGGTTGCTATGAGTCCGTCCTACTCGACGGCATATAGCAACAACAACAACAACAAGGACTTGAGTAGATAGATCAAATATTATCATATTTAATAAAATTCAGTATCTCTACATGTTTTTTGAGGGAGGAAAAGAGTTTTCTAAACATGTTAGAGACAAGTTATAATGACTATACCTAAAACCCTTTAATATTAGGATCTAATAGAGGTTATTACTAAACTTTTAAGGTATTAATTTTTTAATACTTGTTTTTAGCTGCTGTTGAATTGGTTCTGACTCACAGTGACCTTAGGTACAACAGAATGAAATATCATATGGTCGTGATGGGAACTTTGATGCCATTGTTGAGGTTATTGTGTCAATCCATCTATCTCATTGAGGATTTCCCTAATTTTTGCCCTCCCTATTTACAGGCTATTAAATAGAAGTTACTTTCTATGTGTATGTGGTTAGAGTGCACAAATGTGATAAGACATATACAACCCCGATACATGTATAGCCCATGACCACCCTAGTTGCCCCTTCTACTGTGCTCTCTGAAACTGTAATTTCCTCAGTTTGAAGCATTCATTTCCCTGCCTAACAATTATTGTCTGTATGCCTCTTCCCCATTAGATTGCAACTCCCTTGAATAATTCGTGTTTCCCAGTACCAAAAGCAATTGGTAACAAATATTTGCTGATGAATTCTAGAAATAAATTAGAAAGTCATTTAGGATAAAAATTTCCCACTTTTTAAAAATGGTGTTATTGAGATATATAATTCACATATTGTTTTACTTTCCCAGGACTGTCCTACAGAATACCATAATGTGGGTAGCTTTAAAGAACAGAAATTATTGTCCCTTAGCTCTGGAGTTTAGAAGTCCAAATTCAGGGTCATTCTCTCTCTTAGTTGGCTCTAGGGGAAGATCCTGAGTGGTGTCTTTCAGTTTCTGGTAGCCTCAGGTGTTTCTTGGCTTTCCTTGACTTGTAGACAGATTCCCCACAAGGTGTCTTCTTCTTATATGTCTGTCTTTGTCTCCCTTTCTGTTCTCCTCCTTTATAAAACACCATTCAGAGGGATTAGAATTAGGACCCACTCTACTCTGATCAAGGAGCTCTGGTGGTGTAGTGCCTAAGGGATTTGACTGCTAACCAGAAGGTTGGCGGTTGAAACCCATCAGTCACTCTGTGGAAGGAAGGCAGGGCAATCTACTTCAGGAAAGATTTACTGCCTCTGAAACTCAATGGGGGTCACTATGAGTTGGAATTGACTCGATGGCAGTGGGTTTGGTTTGATTTTGTCTACTCTGATATAACAGATAATATCTTCAAAGAATGACCCTCTTTCCCTAAACAAGGTCACATTCACAGATAAGGGGTTAGGACTTCAACATATCTATTTGTGGGACACAATTCAATCCATAACACATATAATACAATTTTTGCTCGCACTTTGTGGTTTTAAAAGACATATATGGGCTAGAAAGCAGCCCTGGTGGTGCAGTGGTTAAGTGCTTGGGTGTTAATCAAAAGCTCGGTGGTTGAAATCAACCAGCTCCTGTGCAGAAGAAAGATATGGCAATCTACTTCCATAAAGATTATAGGCTTGGAAATCCTATGGGACAGTTCTACTCTGTCAAATAGAGCCACTGTGAGCCAGGATTGACTCAGTGACAATGGGTTTTTTAATAGGTTGTTTGCTGAAAGTACCCCAGTTTCATTGTGAGAGTCAAGTACTGGAGTTATGTTTTGCTTTGTGAAAATGAAAGAAGTATACATTTAGAGATAAAGAATAGCTGTGAAGAATTTCGTCATTAAATTATATTCTCTTTAGGAGCAATTCTTCAGTCCTCCACCTGTTGTGACTGTGATGAAAAGATATTTGTGTTTCCATAGAGGATCACTATGTCTCTTTCTCCTTTCCATCAGTCATAGACCTCAGGGCTAAACACATACACACACACACACACACACACACAACCAATTATCTTGGAGTTTATTCTGATTCCTGGCAACCCCAGGTGTTACAGAGTAGACCTGCTTCTTAGATTTTCTTGGCTATAATCTCTTGCGGAAGTAGATTGGCAGGCTGTCTGCTGGGTACAAACCATCGACTTTTAGGTTAGTAGTCTAGTTAAAGGGATCCCATTTTATTCTACCTCTGCACAGTAGCTCCCATATTTTGTCTCCTATGTACCATAACCATAACTTGCTTATCTGGAAGGTAATATTTTTTCTATTTTCCCTTGTTCTGTAGCATGAATTATTATCTCTTTCATCCTCCAATGATCTTTGGGAGGAAGAAATCATGTGCTGGGTTTGATTATAACAAAGTGCCTTACCTACATTCTTAAATGTCAGAAGCAAAAGTTATTTCAAGAGCTTTTTTAAAAATATATATATTTGTGGCTTAGAAAGTGACTTCTAAATTCAAGAGAAGCAGAAGTAATTCTACATTTCTCTTTGAGCAGCTCAGTGAAGGGGAGTTTGTGGTGTTGGTAGCCTTGAAAATTTTTACAGAGGGGAAGATATCATAAGCAAAAAGCCAAGGAGGTGCACTTGCATCATCAGAGGGTTCACTGTTGTGATACATGTGGCAGCCTGGGAAACGACTCAGCCACTGGCCTTGACCTCCATACCTCCATGCCTGCACCTGTCCTCCCTCCATTTCCTCCCTGGTGACTTCTAGGGCATTTATGTCCTTGTTCTGGATGTGTGAAAACCGCTTCCTGAATTCAGCCTAAACAAGATCAAAGTGTTTTAAAAATAGTATTTGGGAGGAAATCAAATAGAAAGGAGAACAAATATTCCCATAGAAATTTCAAACCTGAGGATCCTGACAGATGTCAGACCCATCTCTTACCGTGACAAGGGCACCTCACATAGCCCCATTTCCTTTGGTTACCTCAGACATATCTGCCTGGGGGTGAGATAAGCTGCATATACTCCCTGGTGTTGGGTAAATGTGGGGAGCTCCACAACCTGGTCTGGTGGGGATCTATTCTTTCCACACCCATTTCCTAGTTTCTCTGGGTATGGACTCCCAAGTCTCAATTTATCAGAGCGAAGTATTTTAAAATTTAAATTCGATCATTTCCTTTTTTTACCTAAAAGCCTTTATTAGCATCCCATCACTCTTAGAATAAACTCCCAAGTCCTCGATGCTAAGCATTATGAGGTTGTGAGGAATCAACCAGCCACATGCCTCTAGAGTCATCTCATCAATTTTGCCTGATACTCACTGGGCATCCTTTGGTCCTGCACTAGCTGTTTTGTATCTTATTCTGGGTCTTTGCATGTACTCTTTTCTCCCTGGAATACTCTTTCCTTTGTCAACTTGCCCTCAACTTCAAGGTCTCATGATAAATGTGTTTCCCTTTCTCTTGCGACAAGGGCAGGTCTTCTGCTTGAGGGTTCAGGAGATCCTCATGTTTCCCCTTTTGCCAGTCATCATGGTCAAACTTGTGTATCAGCTGTCTTCTCTGTCACAATATAATCTCTAAGAGGGCAGGGACCATGTCTGGTTGGAAAGTGAGTACTCCATGAGATTTTTAGGTTGGGTGAATCAGGTCCTCAAAGATTTCTCTTGGGCTTTAGGTTTCCCTGAACTCACTTCATGGTACAGTGGTTACCATAGTTTTTCTGTAAAGGGCTAGAAAATAAATATTTTAGGCTCTGGGGACCATAAGTCTGTCACAACTACTTAACTCTGCTATTGTAGTGTGAAAGCAGTCATCAGCAATACTTAAATAAATGTTTACGGCTGTGTTCCAATAAAACTTTGTTTGCAAAAACAGGCAGTGAGTGAACGCCTCTATTTTAGTAGCATCCTCAGCTTGGGAAGATCCTGGTTCCCGAGAGACTTAATCTCACCCTGACCTGTTTTTCATTTATCCACTTTTGTTCAGTATGTGTTCACTAGCTAGTTGCGAGTGTTGATTCCAGCCTTTGGTGAAGTTCAGCCCATTCATCTATTGCTCTAGGCTGACTAAGTCACATTAACAGATTATGCGTAAAGGCTGGTACTGGGTGCTGACATGTTGTACTCTAAGAAATTATGTTTGCTCTAATATGGCTTGTAAAACACTGTATCTCCTCCCATTTCAACAACCTCAAACCTCTATGGCACTGCTCACTCAGCCCCCTTTCTGAGGTTGTCAGTGTCTCGGGTTCTCTCTGGTGACCCATCCAGGTGTTGTCCTTTCCTCTTCTTCTCCTTCCCAGCAGTGGACTTCCAG